CACACACCCCCAAGCCCGCTGTCCCACAAATACCCACAAGTTTCCCGTAAAGGTAACGTAGATGTTGAGTGGGATGGGAGGTCAGACAGGAATCATGCAATCAGAGCCACCTCCCTGATGGGAAAACTCTGCAGGAAACCATCGCCCACGCCAAGGCAAAAAACAAACCAGGCTATTGTTTCCTTTTGCCCTTCAGAAAGGGGTCAGCTCTCCCCCCCCCCCTCCCGTCCATTGTGCCTGCAGGATTTTCCCACATTAAGTGCACAAAGGGGCTGGCTAACCTTTAAATGGGCGACAAGGTGTGATTTCTGTTTAAATGTCACCAGCAATTTCTTCAACCAGAAGAGTCTTGACAGCAAAACATCTAATAACACAGTAGACATTTGTAGATTTGGCGCAGTTTGTAAATCAGTAGGTGCCAGACTGCGAAGGGCATATGAACGCAGAGGGGTAATGAGGCAGCGGCAGGTCCCGGAAAGAGTACAAAGCACCGTGGTGAAAACATGCCGCGTATTAAAAGAATAAATCTAAATTAATGTCGGACATGAAATTACGTGAAAATTGGTCTGTAAATTAAAATACATACTTATTTTTTTTTTTATGTTTTTGTTTTTTTAACCATAGAGCTGCCAGATCGGCACAAATGTTGTCGGTGCCTGAACACAGTCAGAAACAGGAAGGTCCCAGAACGAGTTCCAGCAGGATCCAGAACAAATTAAGCATTGCAAATAACTAGGTCATTACTGGCAAGCACATCCAATGCTCTATGATCATGTCAAATTACTAGAGGCCAGAGATCAAAATCAGGCCCCTGAGGCTGATTAGGACCTGGTGCCCATAGTTCTCTGTCTAGCAGCATCTTTGACTGCCATCCCTGATGATAACTGTCCCGTTCCCCAGCTTACCTGGCCAGGAGTGGCATTCAGCCCCCCCCCCTTCCAACAGGAAATATTTACCTGGCTCCTGGAAGCCCCAAAATGACTTGTTGTTCCAGTACACAGCTGTGAGGCCAGTCAGAGTGCTTGAGGCCCTGAAGTAAAGCCATCAATAAATGAGAATGGAGTCTCAGGCAGCGGCGTCTGAAGCGGCTGTTCCTGCCGACACACATCAGCAGCTCCAGATGGGCGGCTATTTTCAGATTTCCAGGTTCATCCATTGCCATGTCCCTGCGTGTTCATGTTTTCCCTTGTGGTATAAGGAGCTGTGGTGACCTTCGTAACTCGGTAATCAGAGGGCACATCGGAGCCTGGATTAGTGTTCATCCAAGAAGCTGAAAGGACACTTACCTGTGAGAAGCCGACAGTCAGACTTGGGCCCTGTGGACCCCATGGTCATTTACTCCCGCCCCAGTCATCCTGTCACACCCAGGCTCCCTCTTGTGTGCTGCAGGTCCATAATTCATCTATAGCCTCCAAAAGGATCCATGCCTAGCAGCGTTGGGCATTTCAGGTCCAGAAGCTACAAATCCAGACCAAGATTTTGTTTCTACCAACCAGTTGAGCATAATGAGTCACAGTCACAGGGAAGTCAAGTGGTTGGTAGAAACTAAATCTTGGTGTGGATTTGTAGCTTCTGGGCCTGAAATGCCTAGGTACTCTTCCACTGAACAGATAGAACCATGGGCAACCTGCAATAAACCCTCTATTATCACAGCAAAAATGATCATTTCAAAAAGATGACAAATCATTTGAACTGAATGTAAGACACAGTTTAATTAAGTGGTAATTAACACAGTAATCTAAACATAAATGTAAAGAATGTAAATAAGAATGTAATAAGAATGTGAACATGATTTTTTTAGGTAGGTGTCTATTGATAACATGTTACAAAAATATTTTAATAAATAGCAAGACTTAAGCTCATAGGACATTTGGGTGCCAGATCTTCGGTGTTTTTGTTAAATGTTGCTTTAAATACACTTCCTTTCAGAGCAAATACTGTGGCTGCAATTGAAACCGCACACTTCCACACTATATAGTTTACCAAAATTGTATAGGAGACATAACTGAAACCATAGTGAGCATTGCTTAGTGCACAAAAAGTTCCTGGATAGCACTCTACATCCAGTCAAAATCCAAAGCGTGCCAACACTCTATGCTATTCAATCCCACAATCCTAGATGTGACTTCTGAGATTTGTTCTGTATTTGTTGTTATGCAGGACATCTGTCATTAAAGGTCAAAGGCAAGCAGTTCAAAGGTAACGTAGTGCATCTGGAAAATGTACGAAGTTTTGTACCCGCGCACTAAGGAATCGCACAAGTGACCGCTGCCGTAGTTTGCACTTTTTCCTCATTAAAGTTTGCAGCACATAGTGTGTGATTTCGGATGCAGCCTGTGTCTTTATGGATTGTAATAATATGTTAATATGTACAGCTTAAATCCTTTGCAGGTGTTTACTAGCCTCGGTTTTGTTTTGTATGTAAAAAACATACATTTTGCACAGTTTATAATGCAGCAGGTGAAGTGGTAATGGGACCAAACCCATGGAAACAAGGTTTCCAGCTTTAGTCCTTGAGGGAAGCTGCTGGAATGCTTCACTGATCACCCAGCTATATGAATGTTGGCTATATAATATTTCACCTTTATATCAGACCCCAAGGGACACACTTCGCTCTTGACATCATCTCTCACTGTTTCGCTGCTGTAAATAACAACCAATCTGGAGACTGATGAATAAGACATAACAGCAGCCTAATTTTAGAAAGACGGGCACCAAAGAACACCTGCTGTTTGTAGAAAAGAGGATTTTAGACATTAATTCAGACTGGTTTCACTTACTACAAATCCTTCACTATTTGAATAAGTGCTGTCCAAACCATTAATAACCTCAAAATGATTCAAACTCCTAAATTAACTGAACAAGTTGTATTGCTTTCTAAAGTTTTGTTTACAAAATGTTACAAATTTCACACTGACAATTAATATTCACATGTGCCAAACATGAAACTATTCAATGCACTAAACAACAATATTAAGGGCATCTTCTGGATGGGTATCCCATACTGGATAAATGATCCCATAATGGATAAGTAGATAAATGTACTTCATCCGTCACATGAAACCCGAAATACAATCACTAACCCAAGCAGCCCAAGATTAAACAGGACTTTATTGATCCCTGTGCGGGGAATAATTTTTGTCCAGCATTACAGGAAAGAGATACATATAACAAAGGATTATTTAGGTAGAATTAAGTACAACAAAGAATACCATGAGTAAAATTAGACAATAAATCTCTAAATAGAAACAATAATAAAATTATACTAAATTTAAAAGAACTGTGTAAGCAATGTGCAGTATATTAAAGACAGTGCTAGGATGGCTGTTGTGCAAATAGGCATGTTCACATTCAATGTTCATTCATAATACAAGTTCCTTTAGAAGAGGCAGTGTTGTACAGTTGTATGTCAGTGGGTAAGAAACAGCATCTGCAGGCATTTTGGGGAGATGAGTCAGTGACTGAACATGTTGTTCAGCTCCATAGCATCAGGGTTGATGGGGTGTTCTTTATTACCCTTTATGGAGGAGTTTGGACCTCCCCCTTCTCTCCAGCACTGCCTCCACTGTGTCCCAATCCAGCCCTACTACAGTGCTGGCCCTCTTAATCAGCTGGTTCAGCTTTGCAGCCTCCTTCATCTCATTGTCACACCCCCAACAGGCCGCAGCAAAGAGCAAGACACTGGCAACAACAGACTGACAGAGCATGGCATGCTTAACAGTCTGCTGCACACCCCAAAGGACATAAGACTGTTCGAGATGAAAAGTCTGCTTGGCCCTTTTCTGTAGAGGGCCTCTGTGTTGTCATTCCAGTCCATGCCTCTAGGAGGCAGCACCTATGCATGTCCTCCCCATGGTTCTGCATGCCTCTGCTATTTATTCTGGTTTCTACCCACAGTCCAAAAACATTACCTGCTGTGTGTGATGCTGTATAAGCGTCCCATGATGGAATAGCGTACTACCATTCAGTGTGTCTCCTGCTTTATGTCTTATGTGTACTGGGGTAGACTCCAGACTCACTGCGGATGGTAGGATGGATGGACAGATAAGGCTGTGACATATTTAACTTGTAGTGAAGGAATGGGAAGAAAAGAGGAGGTGGATTGCTTTTAAGAGTACAGTGTGCCATCTGCTGGACAAAAACTGTAGAATCAGTTGGAAATGCCAACCAAAGAGCTTTAGATTTCATTTTATCTGTAACCATAGATTATTTGCAAGAAAATAATAAACTATAATAAATAAATATTGTCTTTAATCTGTATTGATTTATGTGAAAATGCACACAGAATACAGACACTGTAGTGTGTGTATGGCTCTGACTGTTAGGACTCTGTTGTGTCTGTGATTAAATGGTTCAAATCCTGTTGCAGGCAGAATGACTTCACAATTGGGCCCTTGATCAAGTGCTTAACCCCAGCTGCCCTAGGAATACGTGCTGACCTGTTAAGTTATGATTCAAAATTTTGCAGTATCTATAAAGTTAAGAATTACATAAGTAAATCTTTTGACTATATGGCTCATATCTACAATTTAAAAGGCGTGTCGTCGCTGTACTTTTCATTCGCGATTCAGAGTACAGGAAGGATGGAGCAATAATAAATCTGAGTAAAACAAAAGAAACAGGTAGTAATTTGTTGTACAAAACAAAACATCTTTTTGCGGGGTGCAAATGTATGGTTTTCTACCGTACAAAACCTTCCCGTACATACGTGCTTAAACACATTCTGAAGTGGATTTCTATCTCGGGTTGAAACATTGCATGGCGTTTGTAACAGCACGGCTTTCTCTCTCCTGCGCCCTGTATTTACACTAACGCGGTACGGCCTCGGTTCGTTGGACTCCACCTCGCAGGATTTTATTTGAGCGGCACAAGACGACGATGTAGGACAAAATGACAGAATGGCGGTGATTGGGTAATTTAAGAAATCTCCGCCCCCTCGAGTGATCTGATTGGATGTACGATTGTCGGAGCGTAAAGTTTTAAAATTTTCAAATAAGGAATCGTTACACCATCTCGTGAATAGCGCGTTTGGGTGTCTTTCATAGCCGCCTGGCTTAGCAGTGTTTGATCCTCTTAATTTTATGAGAAGCTATATATTAATTGTTTTTACGTAACGGAGATTGTTTTGATCTATAGCTTTTTTCATTATTTATACTGAAGTTGAAAGGAAAGCTTGGGAAATATGACATCCGAAACCGAAGGTCCTTTGAAGGTAGGTTAGTCAGAGTGGGGGGAAGAAATTCGCTGTTTTCTGCCTAAAACAAATGTAATTGAATTTTCTTTTGTTTTAAAATGCGTTTTGATGTCCGGTTGGGCACTGTGGCCATTCTGAGGAGTTTGGCATTTCAAATAGAGGGCCGGAAATTGTGTCGGCAACTTTTGGAGGGAACCTTTTGATTGCTTACTGGCCATCAACCCCCCGGTCTTAAATGGGCACAATACTGAAATTCCCTCCTAAAATGTGTAACGTGGCTGCCTAACTCAACCAAGGAATCTCGGGTTTTCGGTCCCAGGATAACTGTATCCCACTCCTCAGTCTAGCTGATCCGGATGTATCGGCCGATGCATGATGTATCAGTATCATATTTAGTGTCTAGCGGTCTGCTTGTGATTCCGCGTATTGAGCGTGCATCTTTCGTTATGTTTGAATAAAAGGAATAAAATAAACTTCGGGCGGAACAGAATCTATAATTACCGATGGTTAGCAGAAACAATATTGGCTGCAAGACTTTTCAGTGATTTTTGTTTTTGACTGTCGTGGTGGACCTGTTTTGACCAGGCTCTATTTGAGAACAAAGTCGTGAACAAGACGAAGAAGGATGACAAGCGTATGTCTGTGGAAAGAATCTATCAGAAGAAGACTCAGCTGGAGCACATTCTGCTCCGGCCAGATACCTACATTGGCTCGGTGGAGCCAGTCACTCAGGTGGGCTTCCATTACCATCGGGCCACCTCCTGGTGACCATGTTATGTTTCAGACCTGCACACTTTCATACTCCTGGATGTGTTCCAAGTGGTCAGTGACTCTTGGTCCATTAAAAATGATGTAAAACTATACTGGCATAGAATTTTCTTACAACTGAATCTGCTGATCGTGAATCCCGCTTTTGATGCTTGTGGTTAAAGTTGTTTTAATGTTTAATCGTTTTTGTGTTTAGCAAATGTGGGTGTTTGATGAAGACGTTGGAATGAACTGCCGAGACGTGAGCTTTGTTCCTGGTCTTTACAAGATTTTTGATGAAATCCTTGGTGAGTAAGTCTGACATGGTGGATATTGATAGGTTAACCCTAAACGAAGGAACGGTGGCAAAATATGAAAAATGACTTATTATATAAGTGTGTATATTAGCACTTCATAATCTAACATGATCAGGGATATTAGACTATTAGTGCATGGCCAGTGAGATGCATTTCATGTTATCCAATGTATTACTGCAGTTAATGCGGCAGACAACAAGCAGCGAGACAAAAGCATGTCCTGCATCAAAGTTAACATTGACCCGTGAGTATCTTCCTTTTCAATTGGGGGGGTGAAGGCTGTGTCCAGTAAGGGGCATTTACCTGGAAACATGCTTTGCGGAAAATGATATCTGCATTGTTAGTGAAAAGTACTTTTAATGCCTGTTTATGTATAATTTGACTAAGGTGGATGGATATTTTGCAGATTGTACACATTTGGCATCAGCAACTTGCCACTCACAAATATCATTATTTAAGGGTTATTCAAACTGCTATCACCCTAACACTTCTGAAAAGGTCAACGAGTTAAACCCATTGACAAATTGTATAATATTTTATAGCGAGAACAACGCCATCAGTGTGTGGAACAACGGGAAGGGAATTCCTGTGGTGGAGCACAAGGTGGAGAAGGTGTATGTTCCTGCTTTGATCTTTGGGCAGCTGCTCACATCAAGCAACTATGATGATGACCAAAAGAAAGTTACTGGTGAGGATTGTAATTGGTGTTGTCATGATACCAAAATTATGACCTTAGTACTGATACCACTTTAGGTATCACAATACCAGTACAACAATGCAGGCAAAGCAGTATCATGTTCTTATGCTCTTATGTTCTTATGTTCTTATGTTCTTATGGTAAATTGTGCACTTATAAATGTCATTGAATCATCACTGAGATTAAATCACACTTTACATCAAAAACTTTTAATGACTAAGGGACATTGAGGACTGATAGAAATCACAAGATCATAATCACTAGATTGAAACATTAAACAAAGAGGAAATGCTTAAGAGTCTATTGTAATGTACAGGATAGTATTGGGGGCTGTGTGGGGAGAGGTTGACTGATAAAGATGCGATTTGTTAAATGGGTTTGGAGAGAGTGCTGCTCTGAGCAATGATGAAAACTAATTGTAAAACATTTTTTTTGTCTGATCAAACTCATGACCATTACTCTCCACTGTTTTGTAAAAAAAAAAAAAACTGGCAGTTTCTTTGCCGCCTTCCATTCAGTTGCTCATTAGACATAAAAGTAAACTTCCTGCGCAGTGCATTATGCTCTTTATTTAACTGGTTATAACACAGCATAGGATAATAACCTGTAGCAACACTTGTACCCGTTTAATCCATCAGATTCATAATTCATATTCATAATAAAACTAGAGAGACATGGCATCTCTTAAAATTTTTAATTTTCATCATGTATCATTTTTTTGCTAATTTGGGCTGTTTTCAGGCAAGCCTTTGGATCCAAAGTTGTGCTGGTTTTTGTCTGCAAATGGATTTCCAGAGCCTTAACAAAGTTTGTTTTTATTCCAGGTGGGCGTAATGGGTATGGTGCGAAGCTATGCAACATTTTCAGCACCAAATTCACTGTAGAGACAGCCTGCCGGGACTCCAAGAAGTCTTTCAAGCAGGTGGGAGCTGATTTCATCAATTTCCATGTGGGGGGATGCCTACAGTTTACTCAGACTTCATCATAAATAAACCGATTGTATTGGGCAATTGTCAGTATTAGCAGATACAGCAACAATCTGCTATCGGCTGATGGTTCAAAATGAGCCGATATTTACCACCGATGACTCCCTTTAAAATGGTGACTTTTCACACCCTCGTACCAAGTATTAGGAAAAATATAGAATCATGTCGTATGTAGAATCATTTTAATGTCATTAGAAGTGCATTTTTTTTCAAACATCACTCTGCTAAAAATTCATTGGAGGATCTAGTAATAAACATCACAGCACAACAAATTTGATTGCTCACCTTAAGGCGAGACAGTGAAGAGTTTCTGCAAAACGAATCCGTTCCAATAAGGAAGACTGCAGCACTGCTGAATAACACTAGTTTGTCAGTAACGAAAGCATTTGATGTCAAAAGAATTCAGCGCAAACAGTGCAAAATCAAAAGATATTACTCAGAAAATTATGGAGTTTATCACACTTGATGATCAGCCCTTCTCTGTTGTAATTGTTATAAGATATGTATACAGTTATAAAATATAGTGCTCTGGGACTATTGTATGCCAGAGTTGGTGTTTTCTTGCCAAAAAAAATACTTTTTCATATGTTTAGAATGTATTTTTTTATTTATTTGGGTTTAAACATATTTAAGCAAAACCTCCCAAACAATCGGTATCGGTGTCAGATTTCGAAATAGTTATATCAGCCAGAAATTTCCTTATCACTCCATCAATAATCTAAAATGTGTTGCTCTAAGAGGCTTCATCAGATGATGTAGTTCTGACCTGTTCTTTTATTCAATGCAGACTTGGTATGACAACATGGGGCGTGCTGGTGAGACAAAGATCAAACCGTTTGATGGTGAGGAGTTCACCTGCATCTCCTTCCAGCCAGACCTATCGAAATTCAAAATGCAGATACTGGACAAGGACACAGTGGCCCTTATGACTCGCAGGGCCTATGATGTTGCTGGCGCTACAAAAGGAGTCAAAGTCTTCCTGAATGGCAAGAAGCTGCCTGTAAGTATAGCAATAGGCTTCATAGAGGACCACTAGCAGTATGTCTGTGCATTTAAGGTTGAGGGGTAGCAATCCAAAAGCAGAGCATTCCAGTGAAACCTTTCGTAAGCCGAAAATGGTGAAGAAGCAATTACCATTAATTTATGTGGGAAACATTTCTGAGTGTTCCCAGATTCAAAAAATAACCTGCCAAATAACACCAAAACATAACACAAACATATAGTAAAAGCAGAGATGATGTAATTACGTGGCCTGTGTAAAGTACAAATAATGGGATGGGCTGAACCACATTTTTTCAGTTCTGATCCGATTGCGATATACAACTGCTGATACGATACGGATTCCTGTACAAGAGCTCTTTTTACTTTAATATTTTAATATATATTTTTGCTTACTTTGAACTAGTAAATACCAATGGGGAAAAAAATGTATGCCAAAAAAATCTGTAATAAGGCTATTAGAGACATTAATAACATACTCTTCCACCTTGTTTGTGCATCTTGTTTTAAGCATTTTTATGGCATTTGCAGTTCAATTTGAATATGTTTGAGGAAGGTATAAGCAAAGGGGCGAATGTTTAAAATGCCTCAGTTTTCTGTTCCTAAAGCGTGGGATACCCATATATAATTTGTCAGTAACTGTAGAACTTCCATTTCACACTACAATGAACGTCAGACTCCTTTACCAGAGTCCTTTACCAAGACGTGAAACAGTGTATGCAGCCCTATTGTTTGTGCTAATGTTCTACTAGTGTTAGTAACAGCAGTGAATCTAACACTCTAAACCAAAAAAATGTGAGTGGCTACTCTGAAAAGCTGTAAAATTTTCAGATGCAGTCTGAATCTTATAAAATGTTGGATAAACAGATCTAATCTTTATAAACAGATTTTCAAATTAGTTTTTATAATGTTTTTAGGTGTTTTTCAGTATTGTGCTAAAATGTGTATTGTTTGCTGATGTCCAAACTTTTCTGCTTTTAACAACTGTATTATGATTGTATTATGGGTCGTATGGCTTTTTTGCGATGACAGCAGCTCTGAGGATTACTGACTGTCCCATTGTTTTCTTGGAGGGTGAATGGTATACTTGATGGCCCCTTTGTGAAAACAAAAATGTCATTTGCCGAAGTATGTTACAGTTGCCGGTTAAAGGAGGTCAAAAAAAACCAGCAGTTTTGGTATTAAGTATACCTATATGCTACTTTTGTTAAATATGAAACATGAAATAACTTGAGGTAGAAAGTCCTGATATTTTGGGTATTTGGTTTCTAATTAATATAACATTCATTAATAATGCTAATAATGGATACATTGTGACACATTCATTGTATGACTTAACCCCTCTGTATTTCTGTTCAGGTCAGTGGTTTCCGTAGCTATGTGGACCTGTACCTGAAAAACAAGGTGGACGAACTGGGGTCCCCATTGACGGTGGTGCATGAGATGGTGAACGAGCGCTGGGATGTGTGCCTGACAATGAGTGAAAAGGGCTTCCAGCAAGTCAGCTTCGTTAACAGTATCGCTACAACCAAGGTGCCAGCCCGAATGGACCGTGGCTTCACAATGCATTCTGAAATGGCCTGTCCATTGTGTACTCTTGAAACAGGCCTGTTCTTTTCAGCTGTATAAGTGGTTATTGAAGTTGTGTTACTTTACATTTTTATATCTGACTGCTTCCCCTCTCATCAGGGTGGGCGACATATTGACTATGTAGTGGACCAAGTTGTGACCAAGCTTATTGATGTAGTGAAGAAAAAGAACAAGGCTGGTGTGACTGTAAAGCCTTTCCAGGTACTATGTCCTGCAAGCCCCTGAAGAGCCCTTCGGTGAGTGAAACCAGCAGGTGATAATGCTGTTTTGTGCTTGTTTCCCAGGTGAAAAACCACATTTGGCTCTTTGTCAACTGCCTGATTGAAAATCCCACCTTTGACTCCCAGACCAAAGAGAACATGACTCTGCAGCAGAAGACCTTTGGTTCCACCTGCCCGCTCAGTGAAAAGTTCATCAAGAGTGTGAGTTCCCACTGCCCAGAGGTCCTGTTTGCCTGCATGTGGCTACACTGATCCTTGTTGCCTGTGCCATTGCTGTAACGGAACTCTTAATGGACCTTTCCCTCCCATTGTCTTCCAGGCTACCAACTGCGGGATTGTGGAGAGCATCATGAATTGGGTCAAGTTCAAGGCCCAAACGCAATTAAACAAGAAATGCTCAGCTGTCAAACACAGTAAGATAAAGGGTGTACCCAAGCTGGATGATGCCAACGATGCAGGTATGGAACTTAAGAGAGTCAATATTATACATAACGCATGTTAGTATCAATGACCTCATAGCAGGGCTCGCCAATATATTGGTTAGATGATAAAATTAGCCAATATTAGGCCTCCATTAATTTCAGTATTGCCAGAAGACCTGCTGGTAGGGTTAGGGTTAGTGCTGATATTTCTATACATTTATTTGTTTAGCTTTGGCAGTAGCCACTGGCTTCATCATTGTTGTATATTTGAATCTTTCATATTTTTCCATAATTCTCTTACACTTCAATGCCATACGCAGCCCTGTTGACATCCATATTGCATGATTGGCTGATCATTGTATACGACACGCTTTTATGTACATGCACTTGAAGAAATTTCGTAGTTTCAGTAAGAACCTATCTCAACAAAAAAAAGATTAACGTTGACCTTTAAATGTTTGACCTTAATCTTCATGATTTGAAGGACTTTTCAAAAAAAAAAAAAATGTTTCAGCAAAACTGAGCTGAATTGAAATTGAATCAAATCAGCCACTGAAATCAGATTGGATTGTGAGGTCAGAGTTGGTTTCAGCCCTAGTTATGGTTCGGTTTAGGGTTGGGCCTTGACAATGCTTTTATAGTTATACAGTAAAGACCAAGCAGAATTTGTTTTGCTGTGACTTTTATTTAAATTGTTTGGTCACATGTAACAAGAGTCAACATGAGATATGGATTTTGTCAAAAACAAAATCCTGCATCCATCTAAACCTGTAAGCTCTGCCTTTCCTACACCAAATGAAAGAAAATGGGGAAGACCATACACTACACCTAATACCTAATTAACCCAAAATAGCCACACAGAGTGAAAACCAAAAGGCACCCATGCACATGCAAAGTCATACTTAACACAAAAACAACTTTTATATTAATATAGTTCATTTGTAAGGTGTGTTCAAGTTAAATGGATGATAACCTATCTGAGAGTTAAACACTTTATATTATAAAGACTTCAATAACAATAATGGCAAAATAAATAGTGTGTTGTTTTTTACTCCTATACAGCTGATATCGTTCATTTGGAATTTTTAGCTCCTTAAAATTGTATGGTATCTTTTTATCTTCAGGCGGTAAAAACTCGAGCGGCTGCACCTTGATCCTCACGGAGGGAGACTCGGCCAAAACACTGGCTGTGTCTGGGCTGAGTGTAGTGGGGCGTGATCGCTATGGAGTGTTTCCTCTGCGTGGTAAAATGCTCAATGTGCGGGAGGCCTCTCACAAGCAGGTTAGTTCTGCACGTATTTATGAGCTATTTTTCCAACACATAGTTAAATGGAACTCGAGTGCTCTCTTAAGGGGTTCAATAAATTTGAATTATTAAATTCACACACACCAATTCTATGGAAATAAATTTTACACATCAAACATAGTTGTCCAGTTTTTTTTTTCCCCTGTCAATTGCCAGATTTGTGTACTGCTGTACATTTAAGTCGTCGTTTCCCTTTGAAGTTTGATTTTTGAGAGTATAACCAGTCCTCTCCATGTAATTAATCAGTGATACTGGTCATTATGCAGGCTTTTCAGGACCGGAACATAAAAATGCCAAAAGCATTGACTTATATTTTATAGCCCATAAGAATCATGTGTCAGCATTTATATGCTAATTCATTTTTCAGTGTATATATTGACCATTCTTATGAAGCACTTTCTATAAATTTCACTGCTCAGACCAGGATTTCTTAAATCTGATTGTCAGTCTAAGTCTAACTTCAGCTGAGTTTACTGAGGAGGAGCGTGTTTTTAAGGTGTAGGTCAGTTGTTTTAGCCCTTCATGTAAGGGCTTTATTAATGTGTTCAGTGCTAATTTATAATTAGTTTTCTCCGTTATTAAGGATGTATTGCTTTAGTGAAAAACACTCAACGCTTTTAACTTTATTTTAGTTATTGGCATTCCTCAACTTAATGCTTAATGCAAAAAATGTAAGTGAATTTTTCCATTCTCCTTGCTTCTGTAGATCATGGAGAATGCTGAGATCAACAATATCATCAAGATCTTGGGTCTTCAATACAGGAAGAACTACAGTGACCCAGAATCCCTTAAAACCCTGCGTTACGGCAGGCTTATGATCATGACAGATCAGGTTAGCTGTATGATAATTTTTTATATTTCTGCAATTAAATGCAAAGTTATGAAATTAATGCTAAAAGCACCTCCTCTGGGGTATTTCATTTTTATGAACATTCTTGCTGCATCCTCTCCTTGTTGGACAGGATCAGGATGGCTCTCATATCAAAGGACTCCTCATTAACTTCATCCATCATAATTGGCCCTCCCTGCTGCGTCACAACTTCTTGGAGGAGTTCATCACACCCATTATCAAGGTATTTTTCCAAAATGTGTGAAATCAAGAAGCAGTTCACTAAACATGTATTTAGGCTTTGTGCAACTGCTGAAATGGAAGGTATATAGGCAGTTGCATTTTAATGCAGATCGGTAATCTTGTGTTAAGATCCTTGTGACTGTTCAGTGTAGAGATGAGGAATTTGCAATACTAGAACCATGAAGTCGTACATTTATAAATTGCACGTAATATGGACCATCCTTAAACGAAATCATCTAAAATATTGTTTCAGGTGTCTAATAAGAAGGAGGAGTTGTCCTTTTACAGTATACCAGAGTTCACAGAGTGGAAAGAAAACCATCCCAACTTCAAGTCCTGGAAAATCAAGTACTACAAAGGTTTGTCATAAAACCCTGTGTGGTAGTACAGCTGGCCGTGTAAGCATCCGCTTTTAATAATTTCCTTATTGTTCACATGGAGGGGTGATTTGTGGAGTGGGATAAGTATATAGTTTTGGCAGTGGCTCACTTAGTCATTAGCACCCCACATTTAGTGCCCCCACAGTTGTGCTTCCCTGGACTCAAATCCTTCGTTTTCTCATGTAGGTCTGGGTACCAGCACTTCAAAGGAAGCGAAGGAGTACTTCTCTGACATGGAGAGACATCGCGTTCCTTTTAAATATTCTGGGCCCGCTGATGATGAGGCAATCACCCTGGTGAGCACTGAAATATCTAGTATCTGTTTTACTGTGTTAACATAGGGCTGTGGTTTTAAATATTACTGCTTGTTTTTGAAACTGAAATTAATTTAACAGACAAAAGTAGTTTAGCTCATTTAGCCAGCTTGATATTTTGCTAGATGTAATTTATGTCAAGTACCCTGCTTAGGAACTTCAGAAGGAGCCAGTGAAGGGCTACAGTCTGCAACCATTGAGTCCATGTCCTGAGAGAACCCACTACTAATCATTTCTTGTGCTTCAGCTACATATTAAGCATGTGATTCATGTAGCTTATTGTTTTTGATGTGTTTCTGATTAGGCCTTTAGTAAGAAGATGATTGAGCAGCGCAAAGAGTGGCTGACCAATTTTATGGTCGACAGGCGTCAGAGACGGGAGCACAACCTACCAGAGGTGAGAGATCAGTCATTGCAAGCCTGAACTGCACTGGTACACTTGGGTGGCTTCCAGTTTTTTTTCATCAAACATTCCCTTTTTTTCCTCACTCCGCAGGACTATCTGTATGGTCAGGCCACTAAGTTCCTCTCATACAATGACTTTGTCAACAAAGAACTTGTGTTGTTCTCAAACTCTGACAATGAGAGATCTATCCCGTGTCTGGTCGATGGTAAGTTGTATTTTCAAGCTTCTTTGGCTACATTTTATATTCTTATAGCTCAAAACAATGCAGTGAATGTTTCTGAGGTTTTAGGCCAAATTACTTGGTTGCCATGAAGTATTGCTTTAAGTACAAGAAGAAGTGTTAAGTTGATAAAAGTATCAATAATGTACCAAAGAGAGAATTCAGTATTTAAAAAAACTGAATTTCTTGCCTGAAATGGTTATATTCCATACCAGATGGCATCATAATTCAGCACATTAAAACGTCTCTGTGTATCTCTATGCTGACTCTGTTCTTGTGTACCAGGTCTGAAACCTGGCCAAAGAAAGGTGCTGTTCTGCTGCTTGAAGAGGAATGACAAGCGAGAGGTGAAGGTGGCCCAGCTTGCTGGTTCTGTGGCAGAAATGTCTGCCTACCATCATGGAGAGGTGAGTGGACCAGAGACGGGCCGTACTGTCACATGCCAGAATCCATTTCTCAGCAGCACTTTGGTTTCTAATTTTTCTAATGCTCTTGTCTTTGTGGTCTCAAATTTCCTTGCTTTACTTTATTGGAACTTTATTCATGGATCTCAGTCCACTGTGAATCTGGCAACTGGCTTTAATAATTGTAAAGTCATTGCTGCATCAATTGTAATGGACTTTTCTGTCTCTACTCTTTCTGGCAGATGTCTCTCATGATGACCATTATTGGCCTGGCACAGAATTTTGCTGGCAGCAACAACCTCAATCTCCTGCAACCTCTGGGTCAGTTTGGCACCAGACTGCATGGTGGCAAAGATTCTGCCAGCCCTCGATACATTTTCACCATGCTCAGGTTAGCTTGGCACAAACCATTAGTTGCAACATTTTTGGACATTCTGCTTTCAAAGGCTTCCCACATGTATGTGTGAAATATCTGACACCCCCTGTCTTGGGTTACCTCAGTCCATTAGCACGTCTGCTGTTCCCTGCTGTGGATGACAACCTGCTGAAGTACAACTATGATGACAATCTGCGTGTTGAGCCTGAGTGGTACATTCCCATTCTGCCCATGATATTGGTCAATGGTGCTGAGGGAATCGGCACAGGCTGGTCCAGCCGTATTCCCAACTATGATGTGCGTGAGATTGTCAGTAACATCCACCGCATGCTGAACGGAGAAGATCCTCTTCCCATGGTAAGATTTTCGCACATTTTGCCTGAGGGTCTTTTAAAATAACAGGGAGCTTGTCCTCCTCCACTCATGCAGAAGGGTGACCCATTCAGTGCATGCTGTTTCATTTCAATTCTCTTTGGTGTCTTGGCCTCACTTGCTTTATAATCTCAGTTCTGAGTGCTAGAGATTAAGTTGCTTAAATTAGTATTGAAATTCTCATATCCGCAAAATCTAAAGCTTTGGAACACATTGAAGGTTCCTGTTCATGGAATCTTGTTTGTTCATGCAGTGTTTCCCCTACCATTATATTAGGGGGCGCGCCCCGCCCCCCCAATGGCACCTCCCGCCGCGCCCCCCCCCCTTGAAGGTCAAGTTAATTTTATTTTCTATATAGTGCCAGATCACAACAGAAGTCATTTAAGGTTACCTTTCCTATAGAACAGGTCTATACATTGTCCTTTTATTAAACAAACTAAATAGCCTTATGTTATTTATCTTATTTACACAACAGCTTGTCATTTTTGTCTCTACACGGTCATGCGTTTACAATTTTCCTCTGCTCTCTGTACTGGGCACACTCCCACCAGCGGACAGAGAGCATGCGTCAGAAAATATGTCACGTCAACCAAAAGCTGCACACTTTGTAGATAATTGTCATAAAAAGAAATGTTCTGATGTTTAGTTCAGTTGTTATATTGACTGCTGTCATTAAAAGAAACACATGAACACCATGTCCATCTGCTCCCCCCCCACCCAAAAAAAAGCTGTAAACCTGGGGGAAACACTGTCATGGGAAACAATAAAAAAATACATTTTTAGATGGCTGTTACATAGTAATAATTTTAACACTGTTATCATGTCAGTTCCAAATGTTAAAAGTGAAGCCTGTTTTCTTTTAGCTTCCAAATTACAAGGACTTCAAAGGAACCATTGAGGAGGTGATGATCAACCAGTATATGATCAGTGGAGAGGTGGCTATTATTGACTCCACAACGATTGAGATCTCAGAGCTGCCAGTGAAGACCTGGACACAGGTGTGTTTCCTTAAGCTAGCACGAGTGGTCTTGCTAATTAGTTTCAGGTACGCTTGCACTGTACTGAAATGATTCAAGCCTTTTCATAGTTTGATGATAAAGATCTAATTTGTCGTGGATTTACATTAATCTGTGGTCAAAACAAAGATGGCTTATGGTGAAATCGGATGCCTGCTATCATTCCCTTCAATTGACTTTACTGATTGTTTTCTTCCCCTCAGGCATACAAGGAAAATGTTCTTGAGGTGATGCTGAATGGTACAGAGAAGGTCCCAGCCCTAATCACTGATTACAAGGAATACCACACGGACACTACAGTGCGCTTTGTGGTCAAGATGACTGAGCAAAGACTGCTGGAGGCTGAAGCCGCCGGCCTGCATAAAGTCTTCAAGCTGCAGACCCCCATGACCTGCCACTCCATGGTAAAGACTTAGCCTTTATCGTACCTATGGGGTCTTTGTAGAATGTGAGTTTTCCTAGAGTTTAAATTAGTGTTCATTAGCCTGGAAGCTTTCAGTGATTTGCCGCTAATGCTAATTTTTTTACAATGTACTGGCAACAAGATGTATTTCATAAAAAGCTACAGTTGCTGTGTATTGTGTAGAGTTTGATTCATGGTTTGGAAGTTTAGTAGGTAGTCTCAGGAGTCTGATTTTTTGTACTGCAGGTGCTCTTTGACCATGTGAGCGGTTTGAAGAAGTATGAGACTGTCCAGGACATCTTGAAGGACTTCTTTGAGCTGCGCCTGAAGTACTACGTACTGCGTAAGGACTGGCTGGTTGGGATGCTGGAAGCTGAAGGCTGTAAGTTCAGCAATCAGGCCCGCTTCATCCTGGAGAAGATCCAGGGCACGCTTGTCATTGGTAAGTCTTGGTCATTTTTCTGCCTCTTCACTACTTTTATTACAATTAATGGTGCATGTTTAAAGGCACTTTCCTGAGACTAAAATTTTTATACTACTCCAGAGAACAAGCCCAAGAAGGAACTTATCCGCATGCTCCAGGAGATGGGCTTTGATTCTGACCCAGTTAAATCCTGGAAACAAGCCCAGGAAAAGGTATCCCTCTTACATAGACTCCATGTTTTCTCTTTTGGTTAGATTTTCACTTTAACAATAAGCAATTTACAAATGACTCCTGCTTTTCCTAAGTCATCAGAGGTGGATGAGTCTTCAGAAGGTGAGGAAGAGAAGGAGCAAGACACATCTGGCCCTGATTACAATTACCTGCTGAACATGCCCATGTGGTATTTGACCAAGGAGAAGAAAGAAGAATTGTGCAAACAGAGAGATGCCAAGGTCTGGCCTGATGTTCAGTTTTTTACCATGATGTGATTTCTCCTCGAAGTGCTTTCCTGTTCTCAGGCAGAATTTCTGAACCTGAACTTATAATTTTGCTGTCCATGTTATAGAATTACAAATTCAGTGGTACCTCGGTATGCTTCCTTAATCCATTCCAGATCCTTGGACTTATACCAAACAGGACGTATACCTAAGAAATTTTTCCCATAATAAATAAAGAGAAAATTATTCATCTGTTCCCATGAAAAAAATCCTATTGTTATTGGCATATTATACATTGATGGGGTTGTATAAAATAATTTAAACACTGCTTAATACATAAATACAAAAGTTATTAGAAGAAATAAATGTAAAGAGTTATAGCGCGGGTTGTTCACTGAATGGTAGCAACTGACGTACTGACGCTCGTGGGCAGTGGTGGCTTTGACTCCAGAGAGGTAAACAAGGTCAGCACGTGGTGCCATGACTCATTTTGACCCATACAAGTTCTAGCACGTGAGTCGTATACCAAGCAAAATTGTTTGCGTCCAAACAGGATGTATACCAAGTTGGACTTATTCCAAAGCGGAAGTATAATGAGGTACCACTGTATTCAGATTCAGAATTTTGAAATGATTAACTAGTTTAACATGACATCATAACATGACTTAAGTATTTTCTATGCAAGGGGTTCTAGCTGCTGTTTATAGCTTATTATAATATAATGATGCCGTGTGACTATATAGCTGTTCAGTTTCAGTTCATTGGTTATCTTCGGTTCCCTTTAGGTGTGATCATGAAGATTGTTCCCTATACTTAAATTTTTAAAGCTTCCTTTGTATATAGTTGACAGAGCTGAATACCCTGAAAAGGAAAAGCCCTTCAGACTTGTGGAAAGAGGACCTGGCCACCTTCACAGAGGAACTGGATGTGAGTTAAGAGGCCATCTGCAAACAAAAATAGAGAGCAGTGACGTAGACAAGCAGCACGCCTCTGCAAAGCTCGCGCTTACAAAACACCTTTTCTTCTAGCGCGTGGAAGCGTCGGAGAAGGAGAACGCGGCCTTGCCAGTAAAGCAGGTGAAGGGCAAGACTGGTCGGGCAAAAGTGGTTAAAGTGAAAGAAGAAACCCTGCCCACCCCACAGGGGCGCCGCGTCATCCCACGTGTGACTAGTGCCATGAAGGCCGATGCCACCAAGAAGGCTGATGTGAAGAAGGGTGACAGCAAGAGGGGTCGGAAACCAAAGGTATTACTGTCTGCAAGCATTCTTATAGCCAGTATGTAGCCAGGGCATTACTATGAATGGACAGTTTGCGACATTAGTGTTATTTGCATTTATTTAGCAGATGTTTTTGCCCAAATCCAGGCAGGTAATACTCCACAAGTATATAGCTGTCAAGGAGTCACGTGCTGCTGCACTGAGCTTTCAGTGATTTACCAGTAACAAGTCCAAGTTATTGTTGGAACAAGAGCTATACAACATGTTAGGTGCCGCCATCAAAAAAGCTAGTGAAATCAAAGCACTATGACAACTCTTCCCATTAGACAAATGCATAATGCCAGAAAAGAGCATCCGGTGTTGCCAAGAGACCATATAAGCAAAAAACAGTCAGTGGTGATAGTGAGCAAATCAGTGGTGGTTTGAGGTGCTTGATGCGTTCCTATGTTTTTGTTGTTGTGATAGTAATTTGCCTCATGGTCTTTTCCCCATGATGACTGAGCAGACCGGTGTGGTAATGAAGATGGAGTTTGGAGAGGAAGCTGTGGTGAATAATGATACTGACAGTAGTGAGACCGACTTAGCAGTTCGGCTAGCCAAGAAAACCAATAAAGCACCAGCTAAAGAGAAAGGTGATTTCATCCACTCTCAATTTCAAGAAACTCCGTTTTGCCAGTATTTTTTAGCTTCCTTTCTTTTCTTTTTTTATAACTCCTATGACTGTAATGTGTAGTATTAGTCAAATTCTAAACTTAACCGTGTTAGCATGCAGTTAATTCAGAGTGGGTTATTTTATATATATGTTTAATCTGATTCGGATCTTGGTTGATTCTGGAAAAACTTTTGGTTGCAGTATCAAAGGCAGTCAAGCAGACCACCCTGCAATTCAAACCAATGACCAAGCAGAAGAAAAATCCCTGGTCAGACAGTGACTCTGCTTCTGAGATGGAGGCGTTGGATGTGGCCCCCAGGCAGAAGATGGAGCGCAAGACTAAAGGTAGTTCTTAGTAGGGCTGTGTGATGATATGATGGCCATTGCATTTTTGCACATGCAGTTCTCAGATTGCCAGGACTATAGGTGAGATCAGTGCCTGTCTCTGTAACGCATCTCGATCATTCCTCGGAATTTCCCTAAGAGCCTCACTACAATAAGAATTTTGTCTTGCCTCTGAGTAGAACGTGAGACGTACTTGAAAAGCTTCTTACACCTATTCTCAGCTATGAGTAAGAGTTCATGTTTGAGAGAAAGTGATGCCAGTTTCACGACAGGCCAAGCAAACAAGCCACAATAATGGTGACATTTTGTAATTTTGTAACTTTGAAATCATGGTGATGTTTTGTAGTTTTCTGTCACACTAATAACAGTGAAGAATTTTGGCATAAAGTGCATGGTTTCTCCTTGTAGATGGAGCGATTGTCACGTAATAGATGCATAATGAATAATATTCCCTTTCTGCCAAGCTGATATCTTTTTATGAACTTCGTTGTCTGACGTTTCCAACACGTTCTTCCTTTCTGGGAATATGCATGCAAATCTTTGCCTGACTGCCATCATCTGGTAGCCTCTAGTATTGGTTAGGACCGCTCTGGAGCTCTCCTAAATCCTGCTCCAGAAGGCAGCACCAGAATTGCATCACTGGGACTTGGGACAGTTTTCCTACTCTGAGGCGCTATATGAATACGGATACAGGTTTTTTTCATACCTTTGTATTGTCCAGCCATTACATTACATTTTTACTCTGTCATAGGAAACAAAAGTTAGCAAACTTTGCTGCTTTTGTTGAAGTTTATCACCACTGCTTTTGCATGAGCTCTGCATGAGCTCTGCATGAGCGCTGCATGAGCTCTGCATGAGCTCTGCATGTGCTCTGCATGTGCTCTGAGTTGTTACGATCACTTATAGGGGCGTTTTTGTGATTTAATAAACTGAGTGGGGAGGAGAAATCCGAACAATACCTGGTCACTAAGAGCCATTGTATGGAAATATTTTTGATTCCATAGAGAAGATGTTGAGCAAAAGCAGGACTCGTGGTATCGCTACCAACTTATTTGCAACTTTATTGGTGGATAATGAGTTTTTTTTTTTTGTAGTTTTGTTTTGGGTACATTTTGAGTTCCTTAATAATGATCACAATTTATTGCAAAAACTTCACGTAGCGATTGACTTTTCCAATATCATGCAGCTCTACTTCTTAGCTTTGCTGTTAGTCCAACTTGTTATGGCCTTAAGCAATCAAGTAGAGTAAAATGAGATGTGCAGCTACATTATCTAGTTCTGCATGCTGAGCAGAGAGGATTCATTCGCCACAAATTTTGTCAAATTGTCACAGTTGCATTTGAAGTAAATGGCTGTTGATCATTGCCAGGATGATGGTTTTAAATGAGTCTCTGCTTTAATTTTCAACATTGACATAATTATGTTGCAGATGTACATTTTGTTTTGATCTACAGTCTGTATGTGTGTATGACAACACATTTGTTGGTCAGCTGGTGTGTTGAATTTAGTGTTCTGCATGAGAGAGAATCCTTTATTACTTAATTTTTAGAGATGGTTAGCATCAGTATTGTTAAGACATCGCCATCACATCAGTTTGTTAGTCTTGGTCTTTTATTGTCAGTCCATAATTAGACTTTAGTAAATATTGAAATTTAGCAGCACCATCACTGAAGACATAGCCACAAAAATAGTGGATATGATTTTATTTGACATTTTAAATTCATTATCAATCTGTGGGCCAGATATAATCTTTAATTTTCCACAAATATTTTGTTTGTCGGCCATAATATAGGTTGCAACGGTGTGGAAATTTTATTATTATTGGCTACCCCAACAGAAAATTTAAACACATATAATTGAATCCAGTCTGGTCAAATAATTTAATACGCTTTTACCTAATTTCCACCCACATAGCAAATGTCAAGCTTAATCTGTCAAGCAGTGAAGATGACCAGGACAAGACTGCAGTGAGTGACTGCAGCGATGACGAGTTTGTCCCGAGCCCGCAAGCTGCAGCTAAAAGCGAGCCGGACTCACCTCCAGCCCAAACTCGTCTGCCCACGTGAGTCTGCCTCTCACCTTGGCATGAAAGGCACTGGGCTGATTGAAGTGCTCTATATGTGCTTATCAAGGCAATTAAAATTGTGCAGACCTGTCATTTTTGCCAGCCGAAAGAATAAACTCTGTTTTAACTAAAAGGAAGTTGAGGAATTTTACAGCTATCAATCTGGAAAGACAAGTTTTAGTAGTGATACAAAAAAACATCAGTGTTAAGCAAAATAGAGAGAATTTAACTTTTTTCTTTCTCTTTCATAGGAAAGTACCTGCAAAGAAGATTCCAAAGAAGGCTGACAAAATTCTAATATGTTAGTATATACTTAGCTCTGCATTTTTAATTGATGTATTTCGTATACCTTGCCAATAACCCACGCTGCAGTACCACCTCATGTTCCTAGTACTGCTGGTTAGACAATGCACTAATACTATTTCAATAAATGTTTAAACGTAAATGAAAAAGCAGCCAACTTTTTCATGTCTATGGTCATCTTCAGTAACTTAGTTTTACTTCATCACATTAAGGAAAGTTTTTCCCAGGTTTCTGTTTTGCTTTTTCTTTGTGTGTAGAATCTCAAATAATTTTGCAAGTACACAGTTGTGTGCTTTTCAGATTTGGCAGCACTGTGTTCTAATGGTCCATGTATAGAGACACAGCTGAGCAGCCTCGTCTGTGCATGTTCCTTCATCACCATGCTGTAGGTTCTCATTTGGGGACCTTTTTGTGTTCCAGCCCTGTCTAGTGATGAGGAAGGTGCACATGTCTCCTCAAAACCTCCAGCTAAGTCTAAAGTTAAGAAGGAAGGAACCAAGAAGCTGCCCACAGCCAGCAAGAAGCAGCAGTCCGGTATGTTCACTTGCCGCCCGCACTGTGCTTCCCTGACGGTGATGCATCATGAACTGCAGTGTGGTTTTGTAGTAGGAGACCATGCCTTGTGTACATGATTGATTTTTAGTCTGCATGTTATTTAGGATCTAGTGCCTTGGATATGTAGTTTGTATAAATCAGCTAAAGAAATTAGTATACGTTTTAGTTTTTCAGACTGTGATTTCTCTAGTGTGAAGGTTGGGTTTAAAAAAACCCGCTGTCTCAGACTTAAATGTCTGTAGTAGCATATCTTTGCATTTCCCACACTCCACAGATACCAAGCAGATGTCCATTTTCGATGTTCTGACCAAGCCTAAAGCGGCATCCAAAGGCACTTCAAAAGCGGCTCCCAAGAAACCTACCGTTGCGAACTCCGGTGATTCTGAGAGCAGTAGCCTTCCTGCCAAGCAGGAGCCTGCTGCCAAGTCACAGGCCAACCGCAAGAGAAAGCCAGCTGTAGACAGTGAGGACTCTGACAGCTCTGATAACCTCAGATCCCGCATCAAACACAAAGTGACTGCAGCCAAGGTTGGTGAGACCTGGGCATCTAGAAGGTCCCGCATTTCAATCAGTGAACCTGCCATTCTGTTTTCAATAACTATTGACAGGTAGAAGTTTTATTTATGTTAACCAGACCTCCATTCCAGGATCACATACAATCCCCCCTGAGCTTTAACTTCCAGCTGTTTCTCCTTTACAGAAAACCAAAAAGTGGGAGGATGACAGCTTCCTGCTGTCTGACAGTGAGGAAGAGGTTGAAGTAGCGCCCCGCAGTAAAACCAGCCGCAGCAAGAAAACTGTAAACTACATCATTGACTCTAACTCGGATGAGGACTTCTGAGTCACACTCTATTGCACCAGACTATTGGACTTCTGGAGAGTTTTCATAGTACGTCTGGTCTGGGTTGCAGTGAGTTTGGTTTGTTTGTTATAACCATTTTCAGGACCTCTGATTAGTTTGCCACTGGCTCTTCTTCGAATGGCTTGATGGCAGCTAACCAACAAGCTTAAATAACATTATTTACTTTAGTTTCTTCTGAGTATGTTTTACTGTGATTGTCCTCTGGTCTCTTCTGAAGTGTGTTTTCTCTAAACACTTTTATTCTTGAGTCAGTTTTTGTGCTTTAACACTTTTGCTACTTTTATAAAACAACACCAATTTTTTTGATGATGCAAAATGGCATATCATGTTGGTTCTGTTGGTATGGAAAATTACATTGAATTAAATGTACCTTTCCAAACCAGAGCGTCAAGCACAGATCACTTGCTGTAGTTATTGAATGGTGATCTATCTCTTCTCTTTGTATGTTGAATTATCCTCAGATACTTCATTTTATTACATGGCACAACTAATATCCTTTCTGAAATTCTCTTGTAAATATTTTCTGTTTTATTCATCTCAACGTTTTTTGAAATAAAATATTGTGATTGTCTAGTATATTGCCTGTTTTTCCATAAGGACAATTAGTTTTTAATACACCTGTTGCCCATCACTTATCTTTTATTATCTAGCATTACATTTTCTTGAATGGTTCACACATTATGGCTCTGTATACAAAATGAAATATCGTCAGTCATTGACACGAATGACCTGTGTACTTCATTATGACCATATCCTGTAATAGGGTCTATTATGCAAGATTCTGTAATTCATGCAGGAAGCAAGCAAATTGGATAAGTTTTACTGTCCAGCAGTATCATAAATTCCAGCACAATGGTTCCCCTCCAGAGAAATGAGTGCATAGTGCGAATGAGTTGAGAACATGCCTTGTAAACATGGATGATGTGTAATATAATACATTAGAGCAGAAAGGTAAAAATTCAAGGAGATGAACTAATGCCCCTTAGGCTGTGTGGTTTGTGGAGACCAAAATAACTGTCTTCAGCTGGGAAAGTGTTCCACCAGCAGAGAATGGGCTTCCAATCAGTTTTAAAAAGCAATATACATTCTATGGACAACAGTATTGGGACACCTGACCATTACACCTACAGGGACTTTTATGATATTCCATTCTAAATACACGGTCATCAATATGGAGTTAGAGCTGCAAAGGGGGGGGGGACCAACAGCTGCCACTCCTCTGGGAAAACTTTCCACAAGATTTTGGGGTTAATTATTGCCCATTTATCAAGGAGTGCATTTGGGAGGTCAGGCGCTGACATTGGACTTAAAGGCTTGGCTTGCAGTCTCTGTTCTTACTTTACTTACTTTTTACTTCTGAATCATTAAAGTAATAGTGTATTTATAGAGCTCCCTTCACAGACCGCGGTCACAAGGCACTGAACAATATGATTGTGCTAATAGGTTCAAGGCCAAGACAAAATGTCAGAAGATAGAGATTAAAATGAGAGAGAAACATGATGAGATATAGCTGACAAGGAAAAAAAACACACATCTGTATATGTACACACATACATACAGTCAGGGAAAAAATTATTTGAACCCCTGCTGATTTTGTAAGTTTGCCCACTAACAAAGAAATGATCAGTCTATAAATTGCAATGGTAGGTTTATTTGAACAATGGGAGACACAACAATAACAAAAGAATCCAGAAAAATGCATTTCAAAAAAGTTATAAATTAATTTGCATTTTCATGAATGAAATAAGTATTTGATCCCCTATCAATCAGCAAGATTTCTTGCTCCCAGGTGTATTTTATACAGGTAACGAGCTGATATTGGGAGCCTTCTCAACTCGTTACCCATTAAAATACACCTGTCCATAGAAGCAATCAATCTATCCAGATTCCAACCTCTGCACCATGGCCAAGACCAAAGAGCTTTCCAAGGATGTCAGGGACAAGATTGTGGACCTACACAAGGCTGGATTGGGCTACAAGACCATCGCCAAGCAGCTGGGTGAGAAGCTGACAACAGTTGGTGTGATTATTTGCAAATGGAAGAACCATAAAATAACTGCCAATCTCTCTCGGTCTGGAGCTCCATGCAAGATCTCACCTCGTGGAGTTTCAATGATAATGAGAACGGTGTGGAACCAGCCCAGTACTATTCGGAAGGACCTTTTCAATGATCTCAAGGCAGCTGGGACCATAGTCACCAAGAAAACAGTTGGTAACACACTACGCCGTGAAGGACTGAGATCCTGCAGTGCCTGCCAGGTCCCCCTGCTTAAGAAAGCACATGTACAGGCCTGTTTGAAGTTTGCCACTGAAGATCTGAATGATTCAGAGGAGGACTGGGTGAAAGTGTTGTGGTCAGATAAGACCAAAATCGAGCTCTTTGGCATCAACTCAACTCGCCATGTTTGGAGCAGGAGGAATGCTGCCTATGACTCCAAGAACACCATCCCCACCGTCAAACATGGAGATGGAAACATTATGCTTTGGGGGTGTTTTTCTGCCAAGGGGGCAGGACAACTGCATTGCATCAAAGGGAGGATGGATGGGGCCATAGACTGTCAAATCTTGGATGAGAACCTCCTTCCTTCAGCCAGGGCACTGACAATGCATTGTGGATGGGTCTTCCAGCAAGACAACAAAGGAGTGGTTGAAGAAGAAGCACATTGAGGTCATGGAGTACCTTAGTCAGCCTCCCGTAAAAGAACTATGGAGGGAACTCAAGCTTTGTGTATCCAAGCGACAGCCTAAAAGCCTTAAGAGGTCTGCAAAGAGGGGTGGATGAAGATTTCAGCTGAACTGCATGCAAACCTGCTGATCAACTACAAGAAATGTCAGACAGCTGTGCTTGCAAACAATGGTTATTCCACCAAGTACTAAAGCATGTGTTCAAGGGATCAAATACTTATTTCCCTAGATAAATGACAAATTGGTTTGTAACTGTTACATAATGATTCTTTTTTCTTGCTTTGTTAATAATCTATCTTTTGCTGTTTAAATAAACATACCAGTGAAATTTAAGACTTGTCATTTCTTTATAAATGGGTCAACTTAAGAATTCATCAGGGGGTCAAATAATTATTTCCCTCACTGTATATACATATACTGTACATATATACAGCAAATACAAAATACACAAATATCCATACAATGTAAGTTAAAAAATGAAGCCACAATAAGGCTACTCAAATGCCTTCCTAAACAAATGTGTTTTGAGTTACTACTTAAATAATTCAATTGATGGAGCAGACCTTAGTGACACTGGGAGACTGTTCCATAACCTTGGAGCCACAGGCTGAAATGTATGATCCCCACGAGTCTTTTATCTGGTCCTTGGAGCTGAAAGCAAATGCGATTGAATAGATCTCCAAGTACAGCTGCAGGAATAATGTTGCAGAAGGTCGGTGATATATTCGGGGGCTTGACCTTGAAGGACTCTGTGAGTGCCAAAATTTTTAATTGGATCCTGTATTCGACAGGGAGCCAATGAAGAGGGGTAAGATTGGGGTGATGTGAGACCATTTGTGATAGCATGTTAAAAACCTAGCAGCTGTAGTTTGGATAGTCTGAAGATGGGACAAGCCTACTTCACTAAGACAGGTAAAAAGTGAGTTGCCGTAATCTAAGCATAAGGAGATGAATGTATGAATGAGCATTTACATCTCAGCCATAGAAACAGCAGCTCGCAGCTTAGAAAGGTTTCTTAACTGAAAAAATCAAGATTGGCTCAGAGACCTCACATGTGCATCAAAGCTCAGGGACTGATCGAAAAATGACACCAAGATTATGCAAAGACACATGAGAGGAGAAAGGAATTGTGCATAGTTTTTGAGTTACCAACAGATAGAGGTCGGGTGGAGCAAAGGTCAAAATCTCAAGTTTTTTGAGCATTTAACTATGAATAGTTGGCTGAATGCCAATTATTAACCTCCATCAAACAGTCAACTAGGAAGGATAACTTGAATAGTTGTTGAGGCTTAAAAGAGCAATACAACTGAATACCATCAGCATGAGAAATATCATGAAAAGAACTGATAATCTGAGCTAAAGGAAGCATGAACCATGAGAATAAAATTGGCCCAAGAACAGATCCTTGAGGCACCCCACGAGTTAGAGGAGGCAGAAGTGCACTTGCCCACACAAACAGAAAAAGTCCTCTCTGATAAATATGAAGCAAATAAGGCCAAACGTGACCCAGTAATGCCCACAGAGTGATTTAGCCTATATAAGAGAATGGTACGGTCAACCATATCAAAGGCTGAACTGAGGCCAAGTAGCACTAATACAGAGCATTCCCCAACATTCCCCTTAGCAGATCATTAGAGCTGTTTCTGTGGTGTGATGCTTTCGAAAACCTGACTGAAAACGGTCCAAAACTGGAGTTTAGAAATGAGACGGATGGATATTTCCTAGTGGAGCTCAAAAAGTATGACTAAAAATGTTACATTAGCTTAAAATGACATTATTTGTAATGTTACAAAAGTTAAGTAACAGGAAAGAGATCAATACTCATACAAGACAGTGTGTTCAATCAGTTTTGTTGTCAATCAATGAAACTTTACAAAACACTGTACTGTAATTTTCCATAAATTATTCCCTATGTGCTTTGAAGAAAACTAATCACAACACTTCTGTTTTTCTAGATTAAATATGTTTCAGTCTCATCCAGCGGAAAGTTTCACTTTCTTTCCTAATCATCTGACTTTGGTTTGCCGTTTATATAATGGGCCTTCATGGTCACGGCCCGGTTTAGCCTGTCCTGGGGTGTTTGCAGGCGTGGCTGGCAGTTTGTTCCCGTTTCAGGAGTACCGTTTAAAGACATGCCAGGACCGCGGCACACAAGACGGCAGCGTGCTTCACATCTCACACTTAGCGTACGATGATTAACCTGCATATTCTTATGCAATGTTTTGTAAACTCCTGTGAAGATTTCCTGATTCCTTCAGATTACTGCAGGTAAGTGACTTAACTCTTAAACTGACTAGATATTATGAAGACCCTGCTTCTAAATAAATAAGGGATTGGGGTTATTGTGTATCACACCAAAGTTTCTGAGTGAATAAAAAGGTATTGTGTTTCAGATAAGTCAGCAGTTTTGTGTAAACAATTTCAATTATGATTAATTTAATTCTTTCTAGTTTATTTATGACTAAAACCACACAGGGATTCTAGTTATTTATCTGGGTTTTTCAGGGAAATATTTGGGTGAAAATTTATATATTCAACTTAGATGTACAAAACAGATGCAATATTGCATTACTGACTATAGTAACAGTCTGCACTTTATAAACTTATTTTAAATCTCGACCATGCTCTATGAAATTTAAGCTTTATTCATGAGATACATGTTTTATTATGTTTATTAAGTATTTTTTTAGAAATGCATATTTGAAAACCAGAATCTTGAACGTGAAGCTTTCTCTAATAGTCAGTCATTTCATTCCATTTTTCTTGGCTGAGGTTTGCTGGGAATCGGCCTTCTGACCCTCAGTTTCAGGACAGCATCTGATTGAGGCCCATTTGTCATTAGTATCTGCCTCGATTCCCTCTGCCTGTTTCACTCTCTGTTCTGGCTGTGAGTTTCCCGTCTTTGCTGAAGAGTACCTTCTTCATTTCATGATGGACACCCCGTAGGGCTTCTTTTGTTCCTCTTTTCTTTCTATAGCCCTATCCGGATGGGATCAGTTTTACCGAGAGAGGTTCGGTATTTAATCTGTAAAGTGATTTGTCTGGTCGATTCGGACAGGATAAGAAACGCGTGAAATTTCTGCCAGAGACTGCGGAGATTAAATGAATCATCTCTGCTGATGTTAATGTCAGTTATCATGGCTAGGAAACAAATGACTACTGAATTTTCATTTTCGTGTGACCTATCCCTTTAACATAACTACGCAAACACAATAAAAAAGAAGTTCTTCCTCCCAGCCATAGAGCAGCTTACAAACTGGTGTAGACCTACTCAGAAGGGCTGTGCTGCTCTGCACCTACAGAAAACCTTGACGCAGAAGAGGCTGCAGGTGTAGGTTGCCCGATGTTTATGTGGAAAACTCAGTATCCATTCGAATGGATAAAAATGCTGTTTCCACCTTACGTAAAACTGGCATGTCTTTATAGATACAACCTTATTACCCAGATGACGATTTGGACTGTACTACTGGGGGCAAAATAAAGGGGAGGGGGGATAAGTAGGATGATTTCAAGGGCCCTTGAGTGAAAGGGGCCCTCAAAATTTTTTTACATAATTGGATTGATCTGGGTTGGTGGCGCAAAATCCCTAGCAGCCCCCCTGTGGACTATGATTACCATAAGAGGTTTGTGTTAGATGAAATACAGAAAGTAATTTGCTCTTGAATTTTTACTTTGGAGGCTTGCAATAATTACAGACATGGCAGATTTAGACTGGGTTTAATTTAAGGACCTCGTTGGTGACTGCTTCAATAACGTTACTTCCCCAGGTGAAACTAATCGCATCCGAATGGGGCTTTTGTTGACTTCCACCATTTCACCTAAGCAACTTCTAAAAACATCAGTAAATGTTGGCTTCCCTTTTAGATGCTGAGGCGGGTTATTGCTGAATAGGCTCTAGTCACCATCCTAAGTCTCGTGCATCACTGATCAACATATAAAGATACATTTCATTAGGACTGATATAGATCAGTGTTTCCCAACCCAGTCCTCGGAGAACCCCGGACAGTCCACGTTTTTGCTTCTTCTCAGATCCCAGTGGACCTGTACCAGGTATTCAGTGTTCCTGAATGGCTGGGAGCTGGGAGGGAGCAAAAACGTGGACTGTCCGGAGTTATCTGAGGACTGTGTTGAGAAACATATATCAGTATTAGAAATTATTCTACATGTTTGTCCAAATTGTACTTTTAGCAGTATGTGAACAGTACTTCTTTGGCTCAAAGCTGAATACACCTGGCAATAGTCAATTAAATTCATTTTAAATAAATGGCTGGTTTGACTGAGTCAAGTTAATTTGTGATTAGTAGGTATGTTTCTGCAAGAATAAAAAGTAAATATTGAGTACATACCTGAAAGCTAATGATTTTTACACTGTTCATCCTGTACAATATCTGATATATGCATATTTTTGCTTTCTTCTTATAGGGCATAAGATAAATGTTTTTCTTCACGCATAAAGACATGAATTTCCTGTCCAGCATATGAACAGCCCTGCTTTTATTACTCTGGTACAACCTGGAATTGCATCAGATTAGTGGCTGAAGGACTGCGAAGTTATAATAAATCAAGCAAACATCCTTCAAGACAACAATAGATTTCAGGCCGGTGTCCAGAAGTAATGAACTCGCATGAATTTCTAGTAACTGGAACAGATTTTGTAGGCTGTAAATGGAAATGTTAACGTTTCAAACCATTTAGTCTAAGTGGACTCTGATCGTCAGGAATCTAACAGCCAGCTGGCCTTGCACAAAGAAATTGTCGGGGGTTGTTTCGAAGTTCTTACCATGGCTGAATGGACCTTTCTGAATGTGCTCTTTGACTCCCTGCAGGCCCAGTCCCCATTCCTGGGACGCTTTTGGGTTCTGCTCATGCTGGTGCTTCGCATGTTGATACTGGGCACCGTAGCCAGCGATATGTTTGCCGACGAGCAGGCCGAGTTCACCTGCAACACCCTGCAGCCGGGCTGCAAACAGGTGTGCTACGATGAGGCATTCCCAATCTCCATGTTCCGCTTCTGGGTTTTCCAAATCGTGCTCATCTCCACACCATCACTGATCTTCCTTATGTATGCCACTCACTACAAAAACAAGAAGACGGGGACGCAGAAGCAGGACGGTACCACCAGCTTTAAGGAGGACGTCCACTTGCAGCATCTCTATATTGTCAACGTAGCCTTCCGCCTTTTCGCTGAAGTGGCCTTGTTGTTCTGTCAGTGGTGCTGGTATGGCTTTGAGGTAGAGGCCAAGTTTCCCTGCAGTCGCATTCCCTGCCCTTACACTGTGGACTGTTACACCTCCAGACCGAAGGAGAAGACACTTTTCCTCCGTTTTTACTTCGCCGTTGGCATCTTATCAACTGCATCAAACTTTGCTGAGTTGCTGCTTATGTCTTATAAGTGGATACATGACTGCTGCAAGTCTTTACAGCCCAGTGACAGCACAGAGAGCCTGCAGGGCCTGGACAGTAAGGAGGCTTCCAAACAAGAGACAGTGAAGATGTTGCTCTCCAAAAAATCCCAGTGTGGCACCACACGCAAAGTGAAGCCGACGTACATCACAGGCCTGAAGTGCTCCCAGCGTAAGTGTGCCTCGGCAAACCACACAGATCTCACAGCTGTGAGAGGATCCAGAGCACTGCCTGGTGTCTGCCTTTGTAGCCCAGTCTGGGACCCACACATGCGGCATGCAGCTGCAGCACCAAAGACGACGGCCACCGGTCACAATTCAACACTCGTATTTTGGTCAGCAGCAGACACAAACCCCTGCCCATAAATCTGCAAGGTGGGGGAAGGGGGGTGACTGATTACACCACCTTACAGAACCCATACTTCTTTTTAAACTGCCCCCCTTAGTAGTGCCATGTTAAACAGAATCTCCCATCTGACTCTCAAGGCTGTAGCTATCAACCATTTTGTTTAGTGCAGCACACAATCCTGTTTCTTTTTCCCTTGCTTTTGACACCATTTCTGCTATTTACCTCTCTCTCACTCCCCATCACTCTAGATGAACCTGGGACTGAGTGAGGACGCCAGCAGCCCCCCCCCAGCCAGCAGCCCCCCGCCCCCCAGCCGCCCAGGGACCCCTGCACCGCCTCCTCAGAGCTCTTCTGCAACGCACTTCACCCTCCTTCCCAGGCACTTTCTAGCTGCTCCTCGTCTCACCCTGGTTACCTTTGATGCTTGTGTGCGTTTATGCTCCCAGCCTGGTAGAGAATGTAGAGAGATTGCAATGAATGGAAATCAATGGAAATCTCTTATAATTAATATATATTACTAATACTGTCTGTTGGACTGTTGATTCCATTTCTTGGTCGGTGAAGTGCAAAAATTATATATAAAAAAAAAACCATTCTGAACAATGAACTCAGCTGGTTTTTAAGATTTCAGCAAAGTCTGCTGTATAAACATCGCCATGTCTTTGGTCAAGTGGGATTTCTTACTACAGATATTGTCAAAGGAAAAATTTAAGGTGCTAGTCACATTAGTAATGCAAAATTTGCCAATATGCGAATGAAATACATGATATGAATTCAGCCAAACTCACTGGATGTCTCCTTTACTGGTTATAACAACTGAATTCACATTTATTGCAGTGATTTAAAAACCTTATATTAAGAGAGTCCAAGCTCTGACACCATGACCATCAGCAGGAAGGTGGTCTGAAGATGGATGGATGCATATTATGGCAATAAAAGATTTCAAATTAAATAAGGAACGGATGCATTATGTGCTGGTACAGTGGTTAGCAGTGTAGCCTCCCACCTCTGGGACCAGGGTTCAAGTCTCTGCTCTGATTCTACCTGTGTGGAGTTTGCGTGTTCTACCCATGTTGTTGTGGGGTTTCCTCTGGGTCCTGCAGTTTCTCCAGACAGTATAAAAACATGCTAAGGTGAATTGGAGTTATCAAATTGTCCATAGCTGTAAGCGGTGTGGCATCTGAATTTGTTTATTTCACGTATTTATTTTCTTCTTTGTCCAAATAGGTTTTGTTATGCAGGCACATTGACAGACACATTGACTTTTGTTGGTTTGTAAACCGTTTCTAAATGTGTTTGCAGTTTTAATAATAAACTATTTAAAAAGAAATTCCATTTTTCCTGCTGTACCCGAAATTGCACTAAACCGTGAACTTAAAACCGAGGTTTGTACTAAACCATGGATTTTGTGTAACTGTTACACCCCTAGTAGGCAGAAGGTTGTTATTCATAAATGACAGTTTGCCTAAATAGGTTTTCATCAGGAAAACTGTGAAATTGGTTATTTGGAATGTACTGGAGGCTTCTTTGACTGACACATCAAAACTGTTTAACTTTAAATTTATGGAACTTGTATTTGAGTAAAACAACTTTGTTTCCCATGACAGTTGTAAGGAGAGAAAGAGATAATTAAAACCAACTGAGTTCACCCCGGGAAAATGGGAGTGAGGAGCGATTTCTAGAAACCCCAGATATTACTCTGTTTCCTGGAATTAAGGAACTGCGTCTTGTGATCTGAGACAGGAATCAGCAAATCTGGAGACTCCGCCTCCACAAACAAGCATTTGTCTTTTTTATTCTCGATCACGTAGCTGAGTTGCACAGTCTGTGGTTTGCCCTCTATTTCTTTGCTTAAACCAAACATTTATTTTAGCTCCTTTAGCTTACATAAATTTTTCATTTATTATTATTCTTATTACTGAGGTTCTGCATTTAAGAGAAGCCCCGGGAAGTTAAGCTCACCCAGGCAGATCCGAGGATGCTGAGCGTGCTCTTCAGCTCCCTGCAGGCCAGAGCTCCATCTCAGGGCCGTTTCTGGGTGATGCTCCCGAGCAGCGTGGTCAGCAGGATATTTGAGGGCGAGAAGTTTACCTGTTGCACCAGCCAGCCGGGTTGCACTGAAGTACGTCAAGATGCGATGCTCCTCTTCTCATCGTACCGCTTTTGGGTTTGCCAAATCATACTCATCCTCACGCCATCGCTGCTGTTCTTCATCTACATGGCACACCGGAAAAAGGACACCGCTGCACACGACGATGGGGAGAACCGCCGCCCGCACTGGATTTACATCATCAGCGTGGTCTTCTGGATCATAATTGAAGCGCCTTTTGTGATTGGACAGTGGTGGCTGTACGGCTTCAAGGTCGAAGCTTCATACACATGCCGACACAGACCCTGTCACAGTTATGCCAGTTGCTTTATCGCCGGGTCCAAGGAGAAAACAACTTTCCTTTGCTTTTTCTTCGCTGTTGGCATCCTGTCAGTCATCTCCAGCCTTGCTGAGTTACTGCAGGTGATCAGATACGTTCACTGATGGTACCCAGAACCTGCACAGTCATGCTGAAGAGGAAGCTTCCAAACAACAGGCTATTAAATGTTTGGCCTCCAAAAAAAGTGACAGTAACAGCACACATAAAGTGAGAGTATCAGTACACATAAAGGGGGTGTAGCTGCACATATAAAGTGAGAGTAATAGCACACATAAAGTGAGAGTAACAGCACACATAAAGTGAGCTGCATGTGCAGCAGAAGCTCCAGCACAAGCTTTCACATCTCCTGATGCAGGAGTCTCAAGAAATCACTGATGGTGGAAGGGAAACAAGGACTTATGCAAATAGGTCAGCATTTTTGATGGGGAATAGTGAATTTGTCAGCTCTAAATATCTTGTAAAGGTTTGTTTCCTCTCTTTATTAACTGTCAGAAAAAATAGGACCAAATTCACTAATGAGTTACATTGAGTTATTTTCTCTTTATATTTTCATTACAACTATGCTCAACATATTGGCTAGTGAAGTAAATCAGATACAGAGATGTTACTATACCATAGTATGCTTGCACATTAATCTAGATTGCATTTTGACATTATGTTAAGTAATATAATATCCTTAATAACTATATACTTGTACTAAGAAAAAATGGCATATTCTGTAAGAATTTTTTTTTCCAAAATAAATTTTATAAATGTGCTTCTTTGTGATTTTTTTTAAACAAATATCAAATTTTAGTCAGAAACTTGCGTCTAGAACACACTAACTAATAAAGTGTACGTGATTGGGTATCTGGCACTATATGTTGAAGTCATGTGGATTGATCATGTGATCCAATGACTCTCCTCGCTATTGGTTTATCATCAGAAGTAGACATAACCAATTAGCAGTTTTATGAAGATCATACCTTTACAGTCCCCATCTCTGTCCTTTGTACATGTCCTTTGTAAATATTTTACAGTCAGATACAATGAAATGTCAAAATAAACACCAAGAGAATGTCTCATAATAGGGATTAGAGACCCATGAGCTTCACTGTACCTTGGCATAGATCCTACAATCTACTGAAGTGATGCAACAGCATTCCTTTGTGAAAAATTCCAGTCTTCGATTTTTTTAATGTGGGGGCTCAGTGTTTAGCACTGTTGCCTCACACCTCCTGGGCTGGGGGTTGTAGTGTAACATCTGCTCTGTGTATGGAGCTTGCATGTCTACCCTGTGTTACATGGGTACTCCTTTACTCCTCTGGGTACCCTGGCTTTCTCATACAGTCCAAACACACGCAGGTAGGCTGACTGATGTCTAAGTTGCCTGGAGTGAGTGACTGTGTAGGAGTATCTCATCCAGGGTGTACCCCTGCCTTGTGCTCTTTACTGCCTGGGACAGGCAACAGGCCCCATGACCCGGGGGCAGGATAAGGGTCATTCCACATCCAATGACCCAGAAGGTCCCAGGTCACCCTCTCAGATTCCCCTGAAAAAAAATCACAGAAGCTCTTATACCAAACTTACGGAGAAATCCCAAATATCAGATCTGTATCTCTAATAGTTACAACTACAGCACTTTGAAATTTTAATTCATTTTATATATCTTGCCGAATGTGCCTTTCATGTCCTCCTTTGACAATGTGAGTAGATAACCATTATTTCCATTCCATTCCATTTTTACCATGTATTTCTATATATCTGAAGATGATCTAAAAAATTTGGGCTGGGGCTCATGTCAGCCCTGCGGCACTGGGGTCGCACGTGGGCTGGGCCGTGCTCACGTCAGCCCTGCGGCACTGGGGTCGCACGTGGTCTGGGCCGTGCTCACGTCAGCCCTGCGGCACTGGGGTCGCACGTGGGCTGGGCCGCCTCTCAGCTTGGTACATACCAACCAATCGCAGATTTTTTAAAAAATTGTTGTAAAGAAAAAGAATGCAAGCCAGAATTTGTTTTTAAGATCGACTTTTGACCTCTTACACCCAAACCCCCAGGTCTTACGAAGAATTTTGTGGCTACACTACATCTTACAGCTGGAGACAGGCCCTTCTATGTCCCTGAAGTCAGGGAAAACACTGACGGTTTCAGAAAGTGTCAGTTCCTCATTTGCCAGATTACTGACTATTCTCTATCATTCCAACCTTTGGGGCAGGTGTGAGACCTCAGCTGACTCCAAATTGAAAAAACAAATCATCACTGCCCGATGAAAACTGCGGTTGTCCACTTTGTTTCATTTTGACTTTCTACTATAGATGGATCTTAACATTGCTAGCTAGCTAACTAACATCATTGTTGATTGTAAATATAAAACAAGATTAGTTTCTATCTTGTTGGCACAGACCTATTGGCCTCACTTACAACAATCCACATAAGTCCATTTGAAATATTAAACCGTACACTGACAGCTGTGTAGAAATAGGTTTCTCTGTGTGGTGCTAACTGTGTCCTATTTCCTTGTTTTAGGGTCATTTTGTAAAATAGTTTCAGGGAAAATGTGTTTTTTCATGCTCCTGAAACAGTGGCGTCTCTGGCACAGAAAGCCTGGTGAGGCGCAATAAACTGTAACACGCACAGTATTTGCTCAGTGAATCCTAATAGAAATGCACGTCATCGATTAAATCGCAATGCATTAATGTAACAGGGCCAGGAGTAAGCAGGAGACGGAGATATGGGCGACATTATCAATGACAACATCTGAGCTAATGCGTCGAATTACAAATCCAAACTTATTAAGCAGTAAATGATCACTGTTATAACACATCCAACGATTTAAAAGTGTCTGGGGCATCTGCTACGGTAATTTCGTCAGACGCCGACATGCTTACGTCAGCTGATTTACAGTGCCTTCGCTAGACCGCTTTTCACTCCGACGAGATATCTCATGTTGTAATATCGCGAGATCTCGTTACACCCCTATTTTAAACAATTTTGTATTAATGCAGAATAAACTCATTAGTGACGTTCACTGCATGGAAAGATGCACGACGATCTTTCAGCTGGGAAAACTTTTAATCTCAATTTTTTTTGCTCTACTGGCAAGCTGATAAATCAAACTTTTAATAATTTGTCCACTTGCGTAATTTTATTGATATAATATATATTAATATTATGTATATTATTATAATGTTGACTACCTATTGGTTGAAAATATCTATGACAATGTATTGCCATACGTCAAATCGATTAGCGTTACATTTTTGGCTTCTATCAGCCATCGTGATCGTGCCCCAGCGCTCATTATTAGAAGCGCGTTGAACAGTAACGTACAATTTTCAGCTGCTTACTTGCTTAAGCAAACGCTGACGGGCCGGCTACATGCGCATTAAAGGAATCATGACTTTGATGCAATAGATATAGCAAGATATTTGGAATGCATGCTAGTGTTACCATTGTCATATGTAATAAACGCACAACAGTATTCGTTAGTTGCGAAGAAAAATATATATTGCTGAACTGAATTACTGATCATGTCGTACACTGCTCAACAGCGACATCTGGTGGGGCCTGACCCCACCTGCCCCTAATATACAAACGCCAATGTTTTGAAATAATGTAGTTTTTGGAGATACGTGTATTTCATTGGACAGCATCGAAATATGATGGGTTTCTTTTTTTTTTACATTATTTCCCCACTCTCACGTTCAGTAGTTTATAGGGCTTGGTGGTCTATATTACACTGTATAGAAATGCCTTCAGCAGAACTTCACCATCCATAGCAGCCCAATGAGTTTAAAAACAGTCAGAAAAGTCAGGTATTTCATATTTGTGTCTGGTACTGTTCTCCAGGCTGGTGGTAAGGCTGTTCTCCAGGCTGGTGGTGAGGCTGTTCTCCAGGCTGGTGGTGAGGCTGTTCTCCAGGCTGGTGGTAAGGCTGTTCTCCAGGCTGGTGGTAAGGCTGTTCTCCAGGCTGGTGGTAAGGCTGTTCTCCAGGCTGGTGGTGAGGCTGTTCTGGCATTGTAGGCAATCTTAGCTGTCATTTGGGAGATGGGCGTCATCCCAACTGACTGGAAAACGGGACTTATTGTCGCTATCTGGAAAGGGAAGGGTGATCACCTGGATTGTGGCAACTATAGGGGGATAACACTGCTTTCAGTGCCGGGGAAGGTCCTTGTAGGGTCACCCTTAACAGGATCCGTGATCACTTGCTCGCCCATCAGCAGCCGGAGCAGTCTGGTTTAACACCTAAGAAGTCTCCATCAACCGCATCCTGGCACTGAGGGTTCTCATAGAGCACAAGCATGAATATCGGCAGAGGTTATTTGCAGCCTTTGTCAATTTTCATAAAGCATTTGACTCAGTTGATCGATTTGCCCTGTGGGACATCCTGAGACTTCAGGATCCCCCCGAAGCTGTTGGACGTCATGGCCGGCCTGTACACTGGTACTGTGAGTGCTGTGCAGAGTGGAGGCAGAACCTCCGCGTTCTTCCCAGTTGATTCTGGGGTTCGCCAGGGGTGCGTTCTTGCTCCTACTCTGTTCAGTGCTTGCATGGACTGGGTGTTGGGCAGGGTTGTGGGGTCCAGCAGTTGTGGGGCATCTGTTGGTGAAGAAAGATTTACTGATCTTGACTTTGCCGATGATGCTGTGAATTTCGTGGAGTCAATGGAGGCTCTGATCAGGGCTTTTGAGAGACTGAGTGAGGAGTCTGAGTGTCTGGGGTTATGAGTGTCCTGGACAAAGACCAAGACCCAGGCCTATAATGACTTCTTAGACACAGCCATCAGTAGTGTGTCTGTCTGTCTGTGGGGAGAATGTTGACCTCGTCGAGAGACTCACTTACCTTGGCAGTGACATTCATGTCTCTGGTGACATTTCCTATGAAGTCAGCAGATGGATTGGGAGAGCATGGGGGGTCATGAGGTCGCTGGAAAGGGGTGTGTGGCACTCCTGATATCTTTGCAAGGGGACAAAGGTCCAGGTCTTTAGAGTCCTGGTGCTCCCTGTCTTGCTGTAAGGCTGTGAGACATGGACACTATCCAGTGAGCTGGAATGAAGACTGGACTCCTTCGGTACTGTGTCTCTTCGGAGAATCCTTGGGTACCGCTGGTTTGACTTTGTGTCGA